TATTTAATTCGAAATTTAGTGTAGGATTAGGGTCTGCAATGATTAGTCAACGACAGAATCTAATCCGGAACTAAAGACTGCCAACTAACCGAAAAGATTAATTTTGACTGTCTTAGGTATATTCTTAATATTGACCTTTAGATCAGTGATATTCAACCTTTTTTGTTCGCGTACCCCCAGATATAATTTCTGTTCAACTTTGTACCCCCAAAGTTGTTGGTGTATAATTCAAGTTATACAAAGTATATAATCTACATCTAAAATAAATTAAATAAATTACATTACTGATTATTCAGTGTTTATCATAATTTTTTTTTTTAAATTTCACGTACCCCAGGTTGAATACCACTGCTTTAGATCATTCGTCGGTGCTGTTTCAACACCACGTTACATGACGTCGAATGCGATAGGAAGCTAAACATAAAAGATGAGTGTATACGTATTAGGAAGGAGGCAATCGTGGTCTATTTTAATGTAGTAATCGCAGAATGCGCCTGAAGAGTCGGAGAAAAACATTAAAGGCTTCGTCCAAGACGACCGGAAATAATCACACAGGATAATAAGATTGTGCTGGAGGGGGGGGACAATCCTCGCTGTTATGTTATTCCCAGACCTCCTAAGAAACGCCCCGTTCCACGCCAGGTTTGGAAAGACGTTTTCGAGATAAATGCTACAGTTGCCAACAGTTTCAAAAATTTGGATCGTGGATAAAGAGGAGCGACTTTAACCGTTGTGGTTGTTTGGGTGAAAGTGCGCCAGCCAACTCGCGAAGCTCCTCCGTAGTCGAGGTTTCCTGCTGGCCGAACAGTGTTTTAGAAGCTAAGCATTACGTACATGAGATGTAATCACGAGACAAAACAAATCACTTTTTCCGCAATTGCGTAAGAAAAACGACAGTGAGTTAATAAGAAACTACATAACCAACTGTAAAATGAAAGCAGTTTTATGGGCGATTGGTGGTCATCCTTCATCACTTCACAGTAAGACCCACAGTCTTACTGTCATACTTTTCCAGAATCAACTCCAGCCAACTTCCCGCCAAGAGAATGGCCCATAGGGTTAAGAGACCTCGAACCGATTGACCTTACCTGGCAAACCTCACGCCTTCTACCTGTAATTACAATCCTAACACAGCCTGTAGCTGCGAAGCACGGAATACGAAAACGGTTACATCACACCGAAATTACAAGCAGAGAATGTTGCCACTGTAATAAGAAGCTCGAACCCTTCCTGTTTAAGATATTAATTGCTGTCACACTTACTCGGGTCATTATGCTTTTGTTTGTAGGATAAAATACAAAACTTTCGATAAGAACGATATGATGAATGTTTGTACTCTCTTCAAAATAGAATGTAATCAATAACCTGCTTTTGTTTTAGTAGATTAAACAAGATAATAGTTGTTTGCTTAAAAAAGAAAAATAACTAACATTGCTTAATCTGATATTAGAGATAATCAGAGCTTGAACAATTACTTTGTGTTGGACAATTTCCTTGTGTCCAGGTCAACTTGTGTAAAAAATTAGCTCACTGTATCAACATGTGTGGATTACCATCTTCAGGCCGTCTTAAAAATTAGATAATTAAATGCGCATGGGAACACTACACAGTGTTTCCATGCTGTGTATACGAGCAATATTGTAAAAATGGTTCCATTTTATATAATATTTCATGCAATTATATTTTTCATATTAAAATAAATCAAAGATTAATCATATTTATGAACGCGGGCGTTACTCACATTCTTAGGACATCTTGACCTTTTACGTAAACTCAAATTACTAAGAATATAAAATAAGTTAACAAACAACTATTAACACTATAAAAAAGACACTATTGCCATAGGCGTTTCAACCTCAAGAGGTCATTATCAGTGGCATCAAGGAAAATAATTCATTTAATCAAATGGTTTAAACTGGATTTAGAAAATAAATAATGAATAGGGTATTTCACAAAGGCCTGGACACTTTTTAGGTCCTACTGTAGTTCTACGGGTGTTGGTCAAATGCCGTTCCGTGTTGCATGAGATTAATCTGCAAATTTAAAAATTCATATTTTATAAGCGTTATATTGTAATAATACTGAAGTCCTACTAGAGACATAAAAGATTTATGTAGTATTTGAGGTGTTCACGGTGGTGAGTCTGAAGATGGCTGTCCTCTGGGTTGGTCATTCATAGACTGTTATGGTAACCCAGCCATACAGATACGTATTTTATTAAGGAAGCGTGACGGGACATATACGCAATGCGAAATAACATACATACATACATACATTATCCTGGAACAAAGGCATGTAAAGTTACATTTAAATATAAAAATAACGTTAAAACGCTCAAATTTAATCACATTATTTTGTAATTATTGTAATCTCGCTGGTAACCCAGCAAAGACTCGAGCTGGGTAATTAACGAGTGAGCCTAAAACGTTTACATACACCAGTCCGCCTGGTACAAGTAAGGTATAAGAAAACAATTCATTTATCACGTTATTATGATTCATTACATAATGATATCTAGTCTATTTCTAACCCCTTAGTTGGCCCTAGAATTTAAGTTTATTAACACTTCACAAATGGCTGTGAAATTGTCAAACTACTCTCTTAGAAAAATAACACGTGTAATTTATTTTCTGGCGAAACTTAGTGATATTCCCAAACTGATAAACAAGACACTCATCCGAATGTATTTTTACACCCTGCTAATATGGCCAGCGACATCTGTTCCTAGAATACTCTACGAGAATTCAATACGACCAATCAGAAGTCATTTAGCTACACACTGATAATTACGAACGCTTGCAGAAACAAGACAACGTGTTGATGTTTACCAGACGGATTCTGGTCTTTGTGATTTTTAAACTACAGTTAATGAATATAAAGAATGTTTATCACAAGAACACTGAGGTCGACAACAATGACAGTTCAGTAACTAATATTTTCCAATATCTCAACCAGTCTCAATGCACTTAGTAAAAATCAGATAGTAAACAGACCGTACAAAAGCAAGTCTACTTAAACGAGAATTTTAAATGTGTTAACTCTCTCAACGATAACAGTGATTTCTATGGCAGCATCCTGATCGAACGAAATTATTTTTAGTGTTTCATGCAGACGCCGTGTTGCTATTTTACATGTACTCGTATAAGGAATTTTTGTGCCGAAGTTGTGTGCTTTTCCAAGATCTATTGTCATTCATCTTGTATGACTCTATGGCGGTAATGTAACTCCCACCTCATAAGTTCGTGCGTCTGTCATGTTGGTATTACCGATTGCAGGAAATTACACAGCACGATTCTAGGGCGACCCGCAATGACGTCCATACCAAATTTAACCAAAATCCGTCCAGCGGTTTTCGAGCTGAATCATGAGAATAGACAGAAAGATAGACAGACAAATAGGGCCAGCCCTATATGAGTTCATTACCTGCCCATCGCCCAAATAACGCTTAATAATATTTAATGTTTAATCTGAGAAACATACAGAAAGTTACTACCGGGCGTCAAAGGGAGAACGAAGTCAGATGAAAAATGCTAAAATGCGACTGCAATTGAAGGCCTTAAATTTATTACAAAATAAAACAATCAAAATCAAAACGAGAAAGACTGGGTTCTGGATTGTGACGCCATTATGGTATTACACGTAGTCACCAACGTGTCCAAACACCAACTAAAGTCGGCTAAGAACCATGTGGGATATATTAACCTCGCTCAGCTAGTAAAGAAATTCGTCTCATTTTAAGCTGCTGAAGGTTCATTACCATTTTCTCACAACAGCCTAACACTGTACTGTAACCTGAGCCCGATGTATCCGATCCACACTTTCATTATCTTACAGCCGTCACATCTATTTTAATATTATCCTCTCGTCTCCACGGCTATGACTGCAAAGTGGTCTCTTCCCTTCAGATTTCCCGACTAAACGTCTGTGTAAGCATCTCTAACTTCGTAGAACAAAGTCCTTCTTAAAAAGCAAATTCTTGATCAACTAGTCAAGATATTTCTCGCCTAAAATGCGAAGGTTCATTACAGCCCGTAACTGGTCAATATTTTTAGTCAAATTAAACTAGTACGCAATATTCCTCCTATTTTTAAGATCCATTTTAATATTATCCTCCCGCATTGAAGTACACACTGAAACGGAAAAAAACACCGCGTCTTCAGCGTCAAGACAGCGGATGTAATATATCAATCGAATTTGTATTTGTCAATTTTCCAAAATGCATTTGTAAAACCAATATGTTCATTTCTGTGGACATTCACACGTACATTAATCAAATCCAATGCGTTTCGGGCTCGATGTGATGATGGGATCAATATTAAACGATGAACCGGGTCACGGAGAGAAATGATACATATCTAATACACAATCTTATAACGCGGAGTTCAAGGATAAAACTGTTAACATAATTACTTACACTTCGCTGCAATGACAACACACAGAAGACACCACGTTCTCGCCCTTTCGCATTTTTAAGTTCACTGTTTATACAACAGCGTATCTATTTATACATACATCTGTTCTTCTGCGTCTTGCTTGTCGCAATGGACGCAATTGCGTGGGGCAGGTGGAAA